ACTGAAAATGAAGATAAAATATGCAGTAGAGAGAGGTACTCAGCATAATACGCTGTACTGATTCAGTGATACAGTTAAAATTGCTGCAATTACAATAAATTTGCTGAAACTCTTTGAGAGATTTGTTGATCAGAAAAATGACAGACTAACAAAAAAAAAAAGATCAATCTTTTATTACTAGTGGCACATAACATTTTACAGTGGGCAGCAGCTGGAAAACAGCTGATCAAATTCAAATTCCTTGCTGTTTAATTCATAATTTCTGGTGTCTAATTTTACATCGCTCATAACGTCTGGAGAGAACCCTTATTATTCAGGATTTTCAGATACAATTTAAAAACTATAAAAAATGACTACGCTGTCGTCTAATTCATTCACGTTGAGAAATCTTGCCACATTGATGGAATCGTCTTGGTTTCTTCAGAACCAAAAAGACTACTGGAAATCTGTTTAAGTGTCCAGGACACTTCTATTTCATTATTTCAAGATAGGATTAGTGGTAGTGGGAATAACCTTTCCGGAACTAACGTTTTCTACAGATTGATAATGAAAACTGTGATCGATAGAAGGCACTCCATTAATTTTCAGTAAACTGAACGGGAATTGATTTTCACTATGAGAGACTAACGAACAGGATTGAATATTCTTCGCTTTAAACAAATTAAAATAGAGACTCCGTAGGAGCTAAGCTTCTTACCATATTTCAAATAGCACTATGCAAAAAACGGAAAGAATTTTCAAACAGTTTATTAACCAAAAATCTTGTGTAAGATATTATTGTTTTATTTGTTGCTCACTTTCATGTCCTGTAAAATAACACGAAAACTTTTTGGTACTCTGATATCTTTAACATCAGTAATGTCGGTTCCGTGTCAGTCCTAAATTTTAACAAATAAAAGTGTTGTCCTTTGTGTTATTTTTCCTGTAGCACAGCAAGCTTTCAAGCAAAGGCATGAACAACTGCTTCCTATACATATTACAAATGATTTAAAATATGTACCATGGTACTCAGCACTAATAACTAGCTTAAATTATAAGCACATCTCTTCAAAAAATTCTGATTTTTATCAAATTAACAATGATGACTACTGGTGGATATTAGGCTGGTTCATAATGCATGTACTCTTTTTCACTTAGTCATTGACTCATTTGAAATCCAATTTTTTCAACAATTCAAGCAGTAAGTTAACTATCTTATCCCTGCACACGCTATAACAGCGTGAGCACCCGGCTTTATAAAAGCCGTTCAACATACGTTTAAAAATCTTTGTAAATTTTTTTCACGTTATACTTGCTGGAAATGCTGTGTAACTGCTTATTTTAAACCAGTTTAAAAACCTCACATTTTTTTACCTTTTATCTTCTCATACTCATGAAGCAACAAATTGCTGTTTCACAGAACATATGTAAACAAAGCCAAAAGTTTCAAACAGATTTGTAAGTAGAAAATCAGGCATTATTGATTTCAACTTTCCAGGTATACACTTATAAACTACTGTGCCTTTTTTTTTTTTTGATTTTATTCTATAAAATGTAGGTGATCTAAATTTAGACAGCACAAGTGAAACTACAACAGCTGCAACCGATACCATCAGTCCTACAACTGCTTCAATTGTAAATCAAACAGACAAGTCAACTTCAACAAATGCAATAGGAGATGCTTCAACCAACGATACTGAATCAGGACAGTTAAACCAACAAAAGCTTCCATTGCAGAAGTCAGTCGTGTCATAGTCAACTATTTAGTGCAATTTAAAATAGCCACCTCAGAAAAGATGAATAATTTTTAGAAATATAAATGATAAGTGCGTTGTAAGGTTAATCAAGGCTAAAAGCCCTTCAACAGCATATTTTTTACATTCAATTTTACAGCCAGCATTCTGTTCAAGAACATTTTTTACAGTTACGGTAACAAATAAAAGTTATTTATCTACAGGATTTTTTCTAAAACATTTATCTGAGTGTTACAAATGAAATTCAAATTTGTAACTCTGAAGTTTCTGAACTAAAATTTGGTGTTGCTTTCAAATACTCTTTGATATAATACTCTTTCTTTACATTCTTTGCAGCACCTCCTATGTATTGAAGCCAGTGGAAGAGCGCAGTGAAGGTATAAATATATTTAATTATCGATGGGAAAGTGACGAAAATATTAGTAGCACAAGAAGCAAGTTTATTTTTTGATTTTAAAGTCACCAATTACTAATCCATTGAATATGTTGCAGGAACGAATTTAACTAGTAAACATTATTTACAAATTTCGGGCAATGGAACAGCGGACAAACAAGAAAGTAGTGCGCTGTTCCCAGATCAACTGAAACAAGGATTGAATAAAACCGAGACCAGTACACAACTTGCAGTAATAAATCATAACCCAATCTCAAACTTGGTTTCAAACAGTACATCAAAATATGTCAAAAAAGTCACTGCATTGGAAGGTACAATCAAAAAAAGTAAGACACAGTTCAATGCAGTCAATCGTGCAATCCATAAGACCTCAAAAACGTTTGATGCCAAAACTGTTGAAACCAAATCTTCAGACTAATAAAGTGATTAGTTGATCTGTAGTTTTTTAAAATGTATAAATTACTCCAAAAAAAAAAAGAGTAGTGTTAATGTAGGGAAAAAAATTGGATGCATTTAACAAATTCATTTGAAACGATATTTGTACATCTTGTTGAACAACGCTTATATCTTGAAGACCTTTCATCCAGATGCTCAATTTTTCCTTCATCTCTTACAGTCTTTATTTTACATTTTATTTCAGTATAAGGAACAATCTGTACCGTCTGTACCATATCTTCTTGCAATATTCAAAACTGTAACAAAATTGCAAGTTTAGTATTTCAACAAATAAATCCATGCAAAATCAGCTAAGCTAAAATTTCTTCTCTTCTGTATGCATTGAATCTTCAACGATGTTCGTTTGTTAGAAACATGGTGAACTTAGTGCAAAAAATATCTTTTTGCTATTGATATATTACGACTGTACACCGCTTCGGTATTGAATATATTCTGTCCTTTGTTACGTTTCCCAACAATGTCATTAATTAAAGCTAATTTACGACCAAAAAAGTGTTACTGATACTTCCCTACCCTTTTTAAAGATCTTTATATTTTTGGCAAAAACATTTCAAACATCAAGAACTGCTTTACAGCTGAATAATGTTGCGTAAAAATTTCGAAAGATTAACACATAAAACGTGAAAAATACGTAACAAAATATGTGAACTTTACGTGAAGAGTGACCTTCAAATGTCCTGATACTAACAATACGTTCTGCCAATTGCAAGTTTACAGTCTTCAAACTCTACCATCTTGTGATCAGTTTTATAAAATTTTTGGTCAAAGATTAGTACAGTTAATTAAATTTGTAAAAAATTCTAAAAGTTCTTTGTTTAAAAATATATTTCGAATTATTGAAAGCAATAAAATTTAAAAACTAATAAAAAGATTTCAAAATGATTCCATGATTATGCTGAAGCAATATATCCATCGACTACACCTAACGCCTTCTACTTCATCGATTTTCAATGTGACATGGCTCGAAAAAAACTTATGTATCAAATACGCGGGTGTTTCCTGTACTACTGATCAACATTTTGACGGCTAAAAAGAGCAGCTCGAATTCTATTGCCGACCTCTGGAGAAATATCAATCTTATTTTTTAGATTGGCTTTAATTACTTCAATATGACCCAAAAATTTATTATCTTAAAGATTTATTTAAAGTATTCTTCTGTATAAAACCAGTTTCACCACAAATAAAACAAAGTTGCCACTAAGTTCATAATGTTTCATAAGGTGAACAATCCCTACTTCTCAACAGAACCACAAAATGTCATTTTTGAATGTTTACATGAAAAGTTACTGAGGTGTGTACAAAGATTATACCTATCCACATTCCCCTTACATTACTTATGTGCTAATTAGACGTGTGAATAAAATCAATGCAGTCTGTACCACCAGATGATGCTGATTACAATAAGTCAGAATTTGCTCACTTTTTAGTGTTATCAGTATCAAAAAATTTTGAGGCTCACGAAGAAAACAGCAAAAACAGCAAAAGAGCAAAATTTTGACAGCAAAAAAAACAAATTTCTTATAAAGTCACTGATGATTTCCTGTTCACTTTTTAACGGCAATCCCTTCTCGAAATTCTTTAATTAAACATATAAACTGACATGAAGTCCTAAAAACTACAAAAAAAAAAAAAAAAAACGGTTTAAGAAGACTAAAGCAAATCATTTTGAAACCATAATGCTTAAGGAGTACAGTCAATAAAGTAAAACTAGTGCTTATAACTCCAAAAAAAAGTCAATAGCCCTCCGTCAAGTACAAAAATAAACTATCACTTCTAAGATAAAAATCATCAACAAATCAGCGGGGTTTCCTTTTCGTAAATGTTCGTTTCAAAAACTAACGACAAATTTGAAACCAAAAGAAGTGAAATCTCAAACTGGAAGGTCTACCCTTTAAAGATGGAAACTATATTTTATGGAAACGTAGATTTGCCAGCGGAAACGAAGATGTTACTCAAAATCTGACTGTTTTACAACCTTAAAAAGCATCATTTTTTAACAGTAATTTTTTCTTCCAAACTTACTGTTTTAAAAATGACGCAATGGAAGGTAGGGATACAGTGAGGTTTTTGGGCTCTATTAATCTTTCAATTCCTAGCAACCCCATCATGAGTGTCCTGTAATACTTGAAAACAGAATTACAGTAAATACTTTTGAAGGATACCATTTAAAACAGTAAGTTTGATTGCCTTGTTTTCAAATGCTGCTGTACAGTAACTTTAAAAAATATTGAGGTCTCCTGACTAAGCAGCAACTGATTCAATCCTCCTTACTTCTCTGCCACAAAGACTTTCAGTTTACCATTGCCAAATGTTGTTTTGAATGCTCATTCAACCGAACCTTTAAGCACAACTATTTACCTTCCATGAAATGCATGTGAGCCTCAAAAGACGACGAAATGAACAGATGGTTTATAATCTTCCACCCACTTTAATGTCTTTTGCAGAACGCTTTCTCGCTGTTCAAAAATCAATTGCAAATTTTTGCGCTCCTTTTCTACTTCTGTCTATACACTTTCCGCGTACTTTTGCTAAACTAATTTGTTTATTCAATTACCACGTGCAGCAGTGACCAATATTCAAAAGATTTTTGAAAGGCGAAAACAAAAAGTAAGAAAAATATCCAAATGACGCATGTCTTGCAAATTTTCGTATACAAGAATTCAAAAATCATATCATTATCTTTGGAAGTGTACAACATCCACAGCTGTTCAACAGCGCAGCACCTTTTTCAAGCTACAGCTATTTTTCTCTTCAAAAGTTACCTTAAAAGAAGACAATATTCCTTAGTATTACTAACTGCATTTTCCAGGAATATCAAGAACTGAAGCTAGATTTCAATGAACAAATAAAAAATGCACCAGCAGCCAAATTGACTAAGAACCAAATTCCCCTTCAGGACTGCATTATTCCAATGTCACAACCGAACAACCTGTCAATAATCATTATTCAAAAAGAATTTATAAAAAAAAAGCAAATGGTCATCTAAAAAAAAAGAATACAGAAAGCTAATTTTGTCTCATAGATATCCCAAAATCAGCATAACCTGAATGGAATATTTCAACAAACTTTTGAAAAAGTGACCCATTGTGGAAGATGAAATTTCATAACGCCTGATCAAAGAGCAGAAAAGTTAAAGCAGTAAAACGATGAAAAAATAATTAAAGAAAATACTCAACTATTTCTTACTTCTTCAAAACTTCGCCTGTTCACCATTCTGATACCCAGTGCTCCCCATTCCAAATGGATAATCACCGATAAGCCTAACAGTTTAGAAGTAAGCAGATTTGCAACTGTTTTCAAAAAGTCAATTTCTTCTAAATATATCCAGAAAAACTTTTTCCCTTGTTTTCCTTTTCCTCTTCTTTTTTAAGCAAATGCTTGGTACTTTTTTTTTTTTTGATGTGTGAAACAAAAATATCGATAAAATTAAGCGTTAACAAAATTCGCAAGAATCTTATCGACATTGTAAAAGCACTTCTAGAACAATGCTTCAGCTTTTAGATTTTTTTTCTTTTGAAAAGCATTCAAAACTGAAAACAATTTTTTTTTTTTACAAAATACAAAGCAAACATACAACAGCCACCCCCAAAACCCAGCTACCCAACAGCTACAACTTAAATGCATTGATGCAAAAAAAAAAAAAAGTTGGTTATAGAGGACTTAAGTTTTCTGGAATTTTGCCAACTCCAATAACATTCCGCGTATAAACGAAGGAAAAACAGATGGGAAGAAACAATGCAGAGGAGGGTTAGTTCACTGTTGAAAATTGAAAACAGCATAGGACAGCAGCATTAGTCAGTTGGAAATTGTTTATGTTCATTGCATGATGAAAACAGAACGGAACGAAAGCGATGGCTTGCCGGCTACAGGATTGCAGTTTTGCAGAAAGCACTTCAAATGTTCTCTGATCGCTATGGTTACACGGGGTCTTATGGTACATAACTGATGCATGCATGTTGCCGTTGTTTTTGTTGTTCTGTTTGTTGTCAAGCAAAATTTTTGCATGCACCTCGAAGCAGCACCAAATATAGATTTTGCAGAGTTTTTTGCACTTATTCTATTGCTCCCACGGGGTTTTGAACTTCTGTATAAAAAACTTAATAAGCAACTGTTATTTCAGAAAAACTAAACCATTAACATTGACAACATACTTTTGGTTATTACCTTTCCTTATTTCCTTTTTTTATGCGTCTCATTGTTTCTTTTTCTACTGGCCACCATTTAAAACTGTTTCTTTAACACTCTTAGTTTTTCGGTAATTTCGTACAAACATTTCGTTTCTTCTCAGTAATTTATTTTTTATGAAACAGGGAACAAATTTTGTCGACACGCCTCGAAAATTTTTATGAAAAATTTTGTTCTTGTCATCCAACTTGTCAGTAATGAACTTTATTTTAGAGGATTAAAGACGCAAACTTTTTTTTTTGAAACTCGCTCCCCACTATCGTAGCTTCTTTTTTTTTATAGATAGGACTTTGAGGGTTTGCTTGGATATCGTAAGTTTTAAAGAAACAGATTACAGCATCATGATTCTGTCGTTTCTCAATCGTATAACAAAAGACTGTAAATGTATTTGACTGTAGCAGAACAGTGGAGAATTAAGTTAGCCCCGAACTTGTTACAAGGAGTAAATATGGATTCTCGACGCGTAACCTTAAACTCGTTCTGTGCCTAGTTTGTTGCTTGTCGTTCTGAAGTGTCACAAGGTTTATACGTTATTATGTTTTTGCAAATAGTCATTTATTTAGCAAATATTTCTTTGTCGGCCAAATAACTATTTTTTGAAGAGAGCAGAGAAAAGAAAACAAAATATTTGGGTCAAAAACAAACATCCAAGAAAAGTAAGAGGATGAAACAGACGAATATGCTTTGATATAATAATACTCTTGTTAAACTGAACTTGCGTAAAAGTCGAGCTTGATTTTATTGATGCTCATACTGAATGTTATTGAAACTAACGGCATAGGTTAAAGAACTGCTTATCATTTTGATGACAGTTGTTTTCACGAGTTGAACCCCCGAAAGGTAACCTTTTTTTCAGACTTCTTTGATACAATTTCATTATTGCCGTCATTGCTGTCGACTACTCGAATAAAAGACTTCAGGGTCATTTTGACACCAGTGGTTGTTTTGCTGGATGAGTGTTTATTTGAAAAGCAAAGACGACAACGAAACAGATGACATTTTTATTGACTACTTCCGTCTCTTTCTTCCTTGTTTAGTCTTTTCCTAATTTCTGCTGTTTTTGCGTGATCAGCTTTCTGGAAATTTGTCGGGATGGTAGTTGGCAAAGAGATGTAAAATCCTGTAGAAAGCCGTTTACGTGCTGGCGGTTCGTTATGGATAACACTGGTTGTCTGGATGATGCATCTGACAAGTTGCCGACAGATTTATCAGTATCGTCAGTTGCCAAAAAATCACTGTTCATGTGACGGCGGTTTTTCTCGTTTTTTGAGTGCATTTTTCTTTCTCGACTTGTCCGGGCATTTAAAACGTTTTACATTTGCCAAGTATGCTAACAACGAGTAAAAAATGATTAATCCGGTGTGTCTGGCGTTTTGCACAATTCTCGTGACTCTACTGATGATGTATTTTTCTGCACATAGACAAGAAGTTCTGTACTACGTGATACAGTCTTAGTTCTCTCTTTTTGCTGAATTGATTCGTGATGGTATGTCAGATATTCTAAATCTTCAACTTATCAAAATTTATTGGCTGTATGACAGATACATTTTTTATAATGGTGCTATTCTTGCTAATTTGTCGACCTTGTACCGATGAGTCATCTAGGATGTATGTGAGGTTAGGTTAAGTGTCAGAGTTAGTGAAACCGTAGCTTTTAATTTATACTCTTATTTCAAACTGCAATTAAACTACTGATTGCGACTACTTAGTAGTAAAATCCCGAAGTTATAGCTGACAAGTACACTTTTTAATTTTGTATTTGGATAAACTTAATTTTCTTTGCTTTTCTGGTTTGGCTTTCTCATTTATGCGTCACTACTGAGAAGTTTAATCTTGGATACGCTTCATCAATAATTCCTTATAATTCGACTTTTTTTTTTCAAATTTTTTTTTACTGTTTGGTAGAGCTAACATCAGAAGTTCAGTTAATGGGGCCATTTCCACCTACTTCTGACGCAACTGGCGACCCTTATGAGGAATTTGAACTCCAACATGCGGATCAGCTAGTTGCAGCTGCCGTTCCCCCTAAATATTGGAATTCTATCTACGAAAAGCTAAAAAATGAGGTTTTCGATGCCGGCTCATATTTCCAGATATTATCAGAAGAGACTGAAGACGGGAATCATTACTCAGTTGTAGCTTTAAAAGATGTCGACGCTGACGATCCGAATAGGTTAATTTTTATTCTCAAACATATTTACTTTCACTTCTACGCTTATCAGTTTATAGAAGCTATATAGCTAAAAGTATTATTACTTTTTGCCTTTCTTTGTTAGTCTTTTTATAATCTTGTTGAATATTACAGTATTTTTCTTATTGACCATGCGTGGACTTTTCGTCCTCAAATTGCTCGTCAGCATTTAAGAGAAATTCCAGGACTGCTGGAGCGCGTTTGTGCAGTTTTTGATGTTGATCTTGTAAGCATTATGATACGTAATTTCCAACACAGTCATTCTGATACTACACTTAAAGCAGTTGTTTTCTGCTCATACTTGAGAAGACTAATTTTTGCTCATTTGTTTAGAAACTGATGTTCGATGAGGAAAGTAATACAAAAGTAGGAGATACCATGGAGGAGGCAGCTAAGCGTTTAAATGCATCGAGTTCTTGTAGTCGCTTAAATTCAGATGGTTAGTACTCGTTAAATTTAGAGGGGGCTTCTTGTTAGTTTAAGTACAATAGGGTCATACTTAGTTTTTTTTATAGCTTTCACGGAGACATTAGGTGTCGTTTCTTCCCCCTTATATGGAAGCTTATATAAATCTCGAGAAGAATGTATTTCTGATGCTTTGGACCGTATGTGGAAGTATATTCAAACTTATACCATCAGATATGTCAAAAAGGTCTTCTTTCATTCAGCTTTTGTAGGAAGACTTCTGCCGTTGTGATATTTTTTCCTGTTCTGTTTTTGCATAACTAAGTCAGGTAATATCATCACCTTAGGAACCTCAAGAAAGTGATATGCCTGTTTGGTATATGCCTGACGAGTTTGGTGTAAGAATTGGACACTCTGACGAGCCTAATTTTCGCATGCTTCCTATGTTTTATCATCCACAGCAGTCGGCGTATAGCCTCTTATTCCCTGTAAAGAATATAAAAGCAGGAGGTTGTTCTGATGTAATTTAAGTCAACTTTCTCTTTCGTTTTGTGCCACTAAAGTGTCCACTTTTGATTTTTTTTAGAAGTTGTAACTAGAGATTATGTGGACTCTCCAGTTATGAGAAATAATCCGAGTTGGAGATCAATTCTACTGCATCCTTGGGTTCCAATTGACTTGAAGGACGAGAAACCACACCATGTTTTCCAAAGCGATGAGTTTTTTATGGTAATTTTTTATTTTAATTTTTTTGCTGCGTTGTTTTTGCTAAAAAAAATTTTGCAGGACGGCAGAATTCCTGATATCTTGCCAGAAAGCGAGGCTAAGATGTCACGTTCAGTACTGCCAGATGGAGTAGTAAAAATTTTTGCAGATGATGATCAGTTCATCGACCGCTTGAAAAAAATAAAAATTCAAAAGGTTTCTAGACTTGAGGATGCAGATGTTGTGTGGTGGAGGGCCCATTTTCACGACTACAAGTGGGTTTTTTTAATTGTTCACGTTTCATATATTCCTGGTTTGCATTGGAGAATACTGCAATATGATGGAAAGTTTTCCGGTTTATCTGTTCAGTTTCGGATGCCTAAATTAGAGTTTTAAGGTTACTTGCTGAGTGCAATCCGAATGCATTTGTGAATCAGTTTCCTTCAGAAGCAGTGCTTACAGTGAAGGACCTCCTTGCAGCTACTATCCAATCGAGTTATTCGAACGAACAAATGAATGAGGAGACTATGCAGTGGCCTCCGCCTTGGTTCGAGACTTGCTTCAATTTGCTCAGTGATCTCCCTCAATTTGTCGCTTACTACCAGCAAAGAGAACTAAGGCATATGCTTTGATATCATATCTTTCATTCGTGCCCTTTATAACACATCTTGTTTGATTTTTTAAGTGTAATTTATTTTTAATCTTATAGGGGTTTGGACAACACATGGATAGTCAAACCTTGGAACCTCGCCCGTGGTCTCGACATGCACGTAACAAATAATTTGTCATACATTATACGCTTAGTGGAAAGTGGACCTAAGGTTTATTTAATTATTTTATTACATATTTTATGCTTAGTTGGCTGGTCATGAAAAACAAAGGTCTGATTCAGATTGCCTGCAAATACATACATCGGCCACTACTGTTTTTGCGACCAGACAATGGGAATTTGGTGAAATTTGATTTGCGATACATAGTCCTTGTAACGGGCCTAAAGCCTTTAAATCTCTTGCTTTACAACAAATTTTGGATTCGGTTCGCAATAAAGTAACTTTTGCTTTCTTGTGTTTCAGGTGTATTTTTTGTTTTTGAAGCTACTTTTGCAAATCTTTAGTCGTAGTTCTTATTGGCAGTTCCAAACTTATATGTTCTTCTTCCTTTGTTCGTCTCGTCGTTATCGTTCTTGTATTATGCCTTGCTTTTTATGGGCTTTTTTACAGTGAATTCAACTTACATGAATTGGATGACCGAGAAACCCATTTTACAGTTTTCAATTACGATTATAAGAGCAAAATTTTACAAGTAAGCTGAAGTAGTTCCACCAATAACAATGGTAACTAAAGCTTTTTTTCTGAGCATTATTTTTTAGATGAAGTGTGAGGATTTCATTATGCAATTAGAGAAACAATATCCAGCTTTAAAATGGACTGAAATTCAAAAGCAAATCAATACAGCTATTCGGGAGGCTCTTGAGTCTGTTACCAGGTATGGTGGATGGTAAAAATTTCAATTTTTTCTCTTTTGAATGGTAATTTCTCAGTACTAATTTACTCAAACAATTTTTAGTGGCAAATCACCGCGGTCGTTAGTGCCGAATCCTCAGTCGCGCGCAATGTATGGAATAGATATCATGTTGAAGTGGAACTCAGACAGTTTGTATTTACACTTGTTTTCAGATTGACTTTTTTTTTCAAAGCAGTAACTACTTTCTGTAATTCTTTAATAAGTTTATAATATATTTGAAACTGCTTATCTAATTTGTTTGCTATGCGCTGCTCTCATTATAGATGAAGAAACTCGCAAGTTGGAGGTTTCTTTTATTGAAGCTAATTTTATGCCGGACTGTGATCGTGCGTGTAGCTACTACGATACTTTCGCTGACTCAGTTTTTAGTGCTTTGTTTATGGGTGTAGCTGATCCTAATGAGTATACAAAAATTTAAGGTTTTAAAGTAAATGTCAAGATATTTATCTTTTATTTTGGCTCATGACGGCCAGTAATTTCTCAGAAGTCATGTTCACATATGGTTGTTAAAGTTGCTTGTTTGTTTTACACTGATTTTGACTACATTTATTCATTACACTATTTTGTTATGTCGGAGTAACAGATTTGTTAGCTAGTTTTGTTTTTAGGAAATTTCAGTTTGGTAGTTTTATGTTCTTAAATCTCACATCGGAATTTCGATTGCGTGTACTTTGTGCTTTTTCGGCAGAGATTGTGCTCTTAAAATGAAAGTTTTTGCATGAGCTTGCTATAATTTTAGCGGCTCGTGTTTCACCACTTATTCCACTGTGTTAACCAGTATCTCGTGTCAGTTGTTTACGGTTGAAGTTATGTTCAAGGACATTGTAAAATGAACAAATGAGCTTTTTTGTATGTAACTGTGTGTTTTATGTGAATTTTGTTTGTGTCAAGTAGAGTCATTTGCCATTTTGTGCCTCTTAAGAACAGGTAGTTGAAATATTGCACATTACATGCTTGAATTTACTGTTTTTTGAGCTTCTTCTTGTAAGATTACCCGTCAGATAGATTTTTTGAAAAGTACAGGACTCTTAGTGCATATGAATGAGAAGAATAGAGGTTAGGGAGGTCTTTGCCATTTGTTGTTTTATGCTTATTTTGAAATAGTTATTAACCTGTTGTTTCCCAAACATTAAATATGTGGCTAAATAAATTTCATTAATGTGCAAGAAGTTCTGGCAAAAAAAAAGTATTTATTGGGTACTCCAAAATTCATCGAACTTTCTTTACGGAGATCGCTATTGATAAATTGCTTCAGCACTGACATTGCTGCAATTGTAGTTGGTTTTGGTAGAGGGGACATTTTGGTAATACCCAGCGTCGATTTGGAGTTTCATAGCTGGTCTAAAATAACCGTTAATAAAACTGGGTGGGGATTTGGCAGTGGAAGTCGGGATCAGAAAAAGAATGTAATTGACAATGGTCGGGATCAGTTCGTAATACAGCTTGATAGAGTGGAGTGTCAGCAGCAATGACGATGGTCACCCGTAATGGTGATGACGTCATAATGCAGCTGTAAATGACGTTTAATTTTTGAACGTTAAGGTTAGTCGGGTAATACGCGGCCAGGTTTTTCATGTAACATAACAGTGCGGAGGGCACACAGCCTGGATATATTCTGAAGCCAAATAAACTAGAAAGTATGAAATGATGCGACATACTGCATAACAGATGCGGCGTAGGTTAGTGACGCAGACTGAAAGATTCTCAGAAGTTTTTTTGCGACCATTCAGAATTTTGAATTTTGAAGATAATTTTTTTTAATTTATTCTCCTGGATTAGGAGGCAGCGTCTGCGCCGTCTTTTCTGAAAGGGCTTTTTAAAACTTCGACTGCTTTCCAACCGATCAGAAACTCATTTATAAGCATAAAACACTCCATATTAGCAAAGGGACGTCCACCGCAATGAAGCGCATTGCTACTTACTTGATCTTCTTAACTAATAAAAACGGAAATTGGTCTTTCGTTAGATAGCTTTAAGGCGAAAGCATCGTACAAAGACCAATTTCTTAAATCTTGGGAAGACACAGAAGGCTTGAATGGGCACGAATGAACTGCAGGGCACTTGAAATAGAAATTACGGTTGCAGGTATCAAGAGTTCAGGTACTACCGTCACATCGCAACAGTTTAATACTCTAAAAATCGACCTTAAAAACATGCAACAAAGTTAGTGGCAGCCGCTTTGCGCCATGACTCCAGGTTTCTCAGGCTTGCGGCGCCACTGTCGTCCTGGTCGCCTTCTTACTTTTACCTTTTTTTTCGGAACGGCGCCTTTCGAGATTTCCTTTGTCTTTTCTGTTGCCCCTCGTCCTTACAGCCCTCTACTGTGCCTTCCTTTCCTACTAAAAAGTAAGCTGCTGATCAGGACGCTAAAACCGTCATTTTGAAAGATAATCGGTTCTTACTGCCTGCTGGCGATAAATGCCTTAAATTACCCTCTCTTCGGGAATACAACCGCACTGTTAAAGCTTCAAAGCACTTATCGCAATGAGTGCTTGGGAAGCTTCTACAGTGCGGTTGTATTCACGAAGAGAGAGTCACAAGGAACCTGTAACTTGGAAGATAAGGTCTGTTGTGGTGACTGGAAGAAATAGGTAGGGGATTCTGTGGCGATCTGCACTACATAGTCCTATAGGAATTGATAGAAATAGTTCAAGGCAACTGTCTTCAGTGGTTAGGGTGACGAGTCCTTTAGCTTGCTTTTTCTTCACGCTCTGTGTCTAGTTTTCAAAAATTAATTCTTTCAATTCAGTTTTGTAGAAGGTTCTTTTTACTCTCTGTAAGGTTTGTCTTTGAAAAGCACTGTTCTTACAGTTCCACCCTCATCTTCAGAGTTAGTAAAAAAGGTACTTATGTTGTTGAGATGAAAGAACAGTTAGATTCATCGCCATTTTGAGGAATAACCAGTTCTTCATGTTTCCGTAGAAAAAACTTTATTGCATGTGGAATTGTAGCATCTGGTAATTTCAATTTTTTATAAAACAACTGAATCCAAAACACATAATAGTGGTTAGTGGTGGGGATTGCTTTTTGCCATTTCGCTTCAAAAATTTTTTATTTTAGGCAGCGTGCCAGTAATAATAAATTAATAAATCTCAACTAAATTTATTTAATTAATGTTAAGGTACTTTAAGGTGATTAGTAAAAGGGAAGTGCAAATTTTCCGAGGGGAGTTACAGTCAAATGAGACATCAGAGAAGAAAATGAACAGTTTTTAAATGATTAAACTCACCCGTCAAATTTGAGAACTATCCGGTGCTGAACAGAGATAAATTTTTCTTTTTTTTTCTATATTTTGTAGTGTCTCTGTTCAGACCGAAATTTCACCTGTTCACGAAAATCAAACTGCAAAATATACTGTCTCAGTATTAAAATTCAAAAAAACAAATTTTTTTTGATTTTTACATGGGGATTTAAAATGTCTCATAGCTGAGCGAAAGTATTTAGTTGCCGAAAACTGATTTCTTTCCGTTGATTTTTTCATCCATATTTGTTCCTACAAATTTAAAAATAAGTTCTGAGAAAAAATGCGGTAGTCTAAAGTACCGCAAAGCCGTATCTTCAAACTTCAGATGCGAATGCTTTAAAATTTTCAGATTTGCAGTATTTTTCATGACACAGAATTGTTTAATATCATAAAAAGGCCTCAGACTTTTGCTAAATATAGTTTTAGGTCAACATTTTGTTTCGCTGAATAACTGAACTGTCTTTAAGTTTGACGCTGAATAAATACTCTAAACTTTTTCTTTTGAATCGTGATCTACTGCTTCAGATACACTCCATTAGTCCTACAAAGCGAGTCAATTAATTAGTGCAGTCGTCAAGGCTGTCTTTTTCATGACATTTATGATTTTTCAATAGTAACTTGATTAGACATTATTGTAACGTTCAGTTCAAAGCTCAAATGTGTCATCACTACTCACCTCCACTTTCTACCTGAAAAAACTTTCAGTAGTCAGTGATAAACTATTCTATTTACTCACGAAAGGAAGCACTTTGTAGATGCATGACCAGATGCACATGGATCTATGTCAGACTTGAAAAAAGTTGTTTTCCTACGGACAGCTATGATTTAACGTCCTCATTGCTGCCGACTTGGTAACCAGTAAGGTAGACCTAAAGTAACAAGATATATAGCAACAAAAAGTGAATAAATTAGGTAAGCAGTTTCAGTTAAGTTGTTAATAAGTTCCTTTTACCCTACAGATGAATTAAGAGATGGCTTGCGTTACAAAAAATGGAAGGCAACTAAGACCAGACTTCCATCTAGTGCCAATGTTTACGCTAGCCAGCTGGAATCTAGGCAACAGAAAAAAATGTATTGTTTATTTCCTTATACAACACTCACTTTAGTAAATACGAGAATCAGAGGCGTAAGGCAGAGCAAGTAGTGGTTTGTTTGAATTATCTGGAAGCTAAACCTTTTCGGCTCTGAAACCTTTTATGAGGCTCTTAATTAACATTTCATTTGAACTGGAAGGTGCGATATTCGGCAGGGCAAGTTTTGCGATGTGAAGGGGATAAAAATTGGTTATGTTACCCTTTAGTGACACGTTAGAGATGAATAGGTAGGCATAATTTTTATTAAATATGTATTCAAAATATTATGCACTAACCGAGAGCTTTTAATTCAGTTCAGAATAAAACGAAATACAACGCTCTTGCGCATGAAGTGCTAGTTAAGCATATCCATAAATATATTTCTATTCTACACTTAGTTAATGAGAGGATCAAGGCCACTGGAACATAAGACAAAACTTACATAGTGACTGGACCCCCAGCAAACTTATTTAGGATTCTTATGAATGAATACTTCAACTTTTGCGTTGAATACTGAAAACCATTCATCCAATTTCTTCAGTCACATACAGTACTTATTACATGTCAATTTAACAGCTCACTTCAGTGTTCCTCATGATAATGATCACTCCCGGTATAAATATCCTTTCGGTAGCATATAATAATAAAGAGGAAATTATGATCACTTTTTTATTTTAATTTTTCAAACAATGTTTTCCCTTAAACTGATCGTACATGACATTTCACAACATTTGTTGAAATAGAACATCAAAATTTGATGGAATATGAGCAATTCATACACCCATCATTTTCATGAACTTTTTTAGTGCCTAAAAAAAATTCTATAGAAATTTTGCTGTACATTAAAACTATGAAGTTTAAGCCCTGTTCTGGACATAAAAAGGTGAATCCAAGCTCCTTTAAAGCAAGGAAATCAGAGAATTTTTAAATGTTTATTTCAAAGTGACTGTACTGCAGTTATCAGTTCAAAAATTTCAACAATTATTAAACTGATATCAATATTATCATTCCGATGTGTTTCTAACACTTCCTATGCCACATTTACATATCGTTACTGTCAGCATCATATACTGTTGCTATTACCGCAGCAGCCATTAGCTT